TTAAAAAAAAAAAAAAAAAAAAAAGCATATACAATTAATGAAATGAATATAAAAATGGAAGCCAATTATGAATCAAAAAGAGAAAGGGAAGGATTTATTACGTTGGAATTTGTTGCTAATTGATGGATTCCATTCCATGCACAACTTTAATTTACGAAAAAATAATTAATAAATTAAAATTATTACCATTTAATCTAGAAGATTAACCCAAATAAATAAATAACAAAGGGTTGTAGGCGCTAATAATTAAAGATCCGATTCCATAATCATTATACTCTACTTTTTATTTTTTAAACCAAATATTTACTTTTAATTCTCTTTTTAAAATAGTTATTTATAAAATTATAGACCTAAACTTTTAATAAATGAAAATAAATATTAATTTAAAAAAAAATGTAAAATAGATTAAAAATAATAGAAATGTGAATGTGGTTCGGGAAAAACTATAATGATTATAATTTATCTTTTAAAACACTTTCATTTTGTTTTTCTCGCCTACTTTATTTTTTCTTTATTTATTTATTTTTTTTTTGTTCTCACCTTGATAAGGAACTTGACAGCTTTATTATCTCCTGCCATTTTATTTTATTTATTTTTGTTTCTTCTATTTTTAAAATCACTTTTGACCCACATACTCATTCTATCTATATATTATTTCCACTTGTTTTTATGTAGGCTGTCCTCAAGTGCCATAAAAATAAATTAATTTTGAGATTATTCTCTTTTATTTATTAATATTCTTTAAAATATTATTATTATATATATATATATATATTTTTTTTATTATTTTTGTTTTTTTTCTTCTTTTATCTTTATTTTTTATTCCTCCCTTTCTCTATTATCTTCAACCTCTTTTCATAGTTTTCTTTATTTATTTCATTCCTTCACATGATCCAAGGTTGTAGCTACATCATGTACTTTGTCAAACAAACAATTCTTTTGACTTTTTTTAATCAATTAATAATTTTCTGCTCAGAAAACAAAAACAAAAACAAAAGAAGGATCTAATATATGGATGTAAAATTTTTAATAGAGGAGAACAAACATTCTTTATAAAGATGTGAAAAACTCTAATCAACAAAAGTCTTTAAAAAATGTGAGACTGACGACGATATGTAACGAGCCAAAATGAATAATATCAAAGTCAGACATTGAACAATGTGCCACAATGGACTTTAAAATTTTAATTTTTTTGTATACTACAATCTAGTGTAGAGATCAAATAATTAATATTATAATAATTTATATATATGTGATGTTTTTTTTTACTGAATAATTTACTTAAAAACAAGTTCTAAAAATTAAATATAAAAAGGGAAAAGTGCAATAAATTTATTTATTAAGTAATATATTTTAATTATTTGTAGACTCAATATCGTTAAGATGATTATTATTATTAGGGCAAAACTCAAATGACCCAAGATCAAGTAATTCTTGAATCATTTGCTCTACGTGATCATCTTCAAGCCGGGCGATCTCCTGAGCCTCCTCGCCGGCGACCCACTTGGCGTCCGTCTCCGGAAAGTGAACGCCGGAAGAACCATAGGCGTCGTCGAGATTGGTGGGCTGAGGGCGACTTGGGTGAGCGGATTTCCGGTCGGAGAAGTGGGTTTTGTTGGGGAATTGCTTTTTGACCATTTGGAAAGAAGCCGTTCGACATTTCTGCAACTTCTCGATCAATGTGGGGGTTAGAAGGTTCGACGGCGGCGGCGCGGACAAAGAGTGAAGTGGCGCGTTGCGATTGGTTGGGAGATTGTTAGGGCAACACATGATTCTGGCAGCTTCGTCGTATGCTCTGGCTGCGTCTTCCGCCGTTTCGAAAGTTCCCAGCCATATCCTTGTCTTCCTGAAGGAGAGACAAAAAGAAAAAAAATTCAATTTTTTATATCATATCATAATTTATTAAAGAGACGTATTTTGATATTTAAAAATAATAAAGTAACAATTTAGTTCATTAATTGGTTTAAAATTTATGGAACAAAAGTAGAGGAGAAGTGATATTAGAAGAGTTACAGTAAAGGGTGACGAATCTCGGAGACCCAAGAGCCCCAATGCCTTTGCCGGACTCCTCGATAGCGCTGTTGAGGTCTTGCCATTTTAGAGAGAGAAAGACTGTAAGAGTGAGAGAGAGAGAGAGAGAGAGAGTGATGGAAATGGGAGAGACCTGAGAATAGTCCAAATTTATACCAAACTTTTTTTTGTCTTTTTTTTCTTCTTCTTTTTGCTGTTCGTGGTGGGGTGTACAATGAACGGGACAACTCGAACTGACCCAATCCAACTCAACCGACTTATAAAAATTGGATTTGAGTTGGGTTAATTTTTCTAAACCCAAATATATTCGATTGTCTCAAGTTTTTGATATCTTTTTGTGTTTGTGTATGAACTTTCAATATATTTTTTTTATATAAAATTGTATCGAATAATTATGAATTATGAATAAATAAAACTTTTAAAATTTTTTTTTACAACTTGAACGAACCTGAAAATAAAAGATTGGGTTGAGTTACAATCTAACCAACTCAAAAGTAACTTCCTTTTGAGTTGGTACAAAAAAATTTCTCAAACCTAATCCAACTCAACCATATACACCCCTCAAACGTCAATATCAACAAAATGTAACTAATGGGAATACAATATTAATAATAAGTGTGGTGTAAATTTCCCATCATACAAAGAAACTTGGCAGAAACTTGGCACTAGGAACTGAAGTAAAAATATATTCAAAATTTGTGCTGCCTCGTCAAACCTAGTAGTAATTTGACATCAGAGAATAGGATACATTCGAAGGGGGGAAATTCTAAGCCTGCAAGAACATTCTAAACAAGTACAGAAATCATCAAAATTATGCACTCCAACCAAGTGCCTGCTGTAGGTGCAAGTAAATGAAGGTCTTGGCTGTTGCAGGGTTGTGATTTTCTGCCCCTTTACTCCAATCGTAGCATACCTATATAAATCCCACCCCTCTGTTCTTTAAACCTTAATTTAAAAAGAAAAATATTGGGAAGAGAAGGATTCCCACAGTTCGCTAGCAAGAGATTTCAATCTGTAGGGGTACCATATCATACCTATAACAAAACAAAACAAACATGTCACACCAAGTCCGTTAGTATCACTTGCTCAACTAGGGTCTTGTCTATGGATATGGCCCACTGTCTGTGTTAGATATGGCCCAAAATAGAAATAGGCGGAAACAAATAAATGAAGCATAAAAAACAACTTGAGGAGAGAGTTTCTTGGAACAAAGAACCTAAGTACTATGTTTTTCAACTCTCTTTGTTGTTGTGTATAGAGCATTGCATCTTATGAGTATTTATAGTTGAGAAAGGACTAACAAATTTCCTAAACTTTTTTCATCCGTTAGCAACTACTCACAATTCTCCTAAACAAAAAACTAACAATTTTCCTAAACTTATTCGAGTTAATAACTACTAGCAATTATCCTACAATTGCTCCAAGTCAATAACTTTGTTTGCTAAGTCAAGCTTATTACCTAAGAGTCGGAAATCTTTTCAATCAAAGACTAGTAACGTGTGATGGGAACCAAATGGAAAGAGATGGAGTCGGAAAGCTTTTCAATCAAAGACTAGTAATGTGTGATGGGAACCAAATGGAAAGAGATGGATTGTAATGGAACAAAGGAAAAGAACACAAGTAATGAAGAAATTCAAGAGCCCACCCCTATACTTGCTACCTCATATCTCAATACTTGCTACCTCCAACATTTGCCAAACTTCAAAAGAGAGTTTTTCGTCAGTTTTTAGCTCAACTTAATCTTGTCATAAAACACATATTGATCTCTGGTCATAAAGCTAACTGGCAATGAAGGTAATCTATTTAAAAATTAAATTGAGCAAAAAAACTTATGGGTAACTTACTTTGGAGCATCATTCCACCAAACAAGTTTTATGTACAGAATGTAAACATAGTTCCCATGCAACTCTCCAAGCTATTTTATAAATCTTAAGAAGACTTGAGGATTATGAAGTTAAAAATCTAATAAGCATTGGAAGGAACCTTCAGCCTTTGTTTGTTTGCTTGCTATTGTAACCGTCCAAACTCATTGTTAGCCGATATTGTCCTCTTTGGACTTTCCCTTTCGGGCTTTCATTCAAGGATTTTAAAATGCTGATGTTAGTGAGAGGTTTCCATACCCTTATAAATAATGTTTCGTTCTCCTTCCCAACCGACGTGAGATCTCACAGCTATCCTCGTCCCAGATATTAAAAGCACCATGCAGTTACAAAAGTGTGATGCACCTGAAAGAGAGTGCAGTTTAATAAATAGAAAGATTTAAAGAACCATTAATCAAGATACAGCAAATTAGGGTTATTGGTAGCAGATGATCCCTTAAAATTCAGAAAATAACCACCTTCTATGAGAGCAACAATTAGGTAAAATCCTTGTCATATCAAGATAGTCAACAATAGTTCACTATCCCAAAAGAAGATTATTAAAAAGAACTTCAAATTGTAAGTATGAATGACTTCCTTTGCCATATGGCTTTGGAGATTTCCGAGAGAGCCAAATGAGCAATGACATGAAGTGGTAGAGTTGGAATTCATGGAAGAGACGATTTCAAGTGGCTAACTAAAGCTAAGATATCAGGGAGTGCAAAGCATCCATGATGGATAATTATTACTGGATTAGATGTTCGAGATGAGGAAGTGAAGGAAGATCGCAAGCTTTTTCAGCTAATTGATTGGCCATCGGAATAAAGCTAAGGCTGGAAACAGAATCACTCGGCGTCAAACTGGTTTTCAAATCAAGCCGAACTCAAAACTCTACAACACACGACGCAGAATCGAAAGTTCCTTACCTCGAAGGATTTATTAGGGTTGAGATTCGCAAATGCAGATATCGATCTTCTAGCTCAACAGCATTAAACAAAAGAGAGGGATTTCGATTTACCTTCAGTGGCGATGGAATTGAAGATTTTGTTCAGCGTCCAAAGCAAGCTGCTCCGACGCGGTTCTCAGTTGAATTGGAAATGAGGAGTCAAGTAGAAGAAGAACACGATTGAACCATTTTTCCTCCCTTTTTTTTAATATATAATTATATTATCGCTAATAAAATAATTACATATATACACTTTTAAACTAATTTTATTATAATTCTTTACGTAATTTCATATATTTTATTTATTTATTTATTATTATTTTAGGAAGGAAAGTTAAGAATAGGATTAGGAATGAAATAAAATATCGTCATAAAAAGGAAAATAAAAGAAAAGGAAAATAAAAGAAAAGGAAAGCTGAAGTTTTGTTCTTGCTTTTATATTTCCTCTATTCTCCGATTTGGTGCGATAAAAATCAATTTCTTCTTTGCTTTCTCTTAGTATCTCCTCCATTGCAATCGAATTGCGGAAGAAGAAGATGCGGCGTACTACAAGGAAGACCGGTCAACCAAATTCAACTTCCGTTAATTCTTCCGCCGTGGATCTCTTTCGTTCCGGTATTTGATTTTTTCTTTTCTTTTCCAGAATTCGAATTCTTCTACCTGTGATTATCGCCATGGAAATCGATGGTCGTGTTGTGGTTAATCGCGTGCTACGAGCATGATTAATTACTGTCTTGATGGTTCTTTTTAAGGAGATTTGTGTCTTTTTGATACTGCGTGTAGAACTATATTAAGATTTTAGTTAGTCTTGAAATAGAGTGAAGGTTCAGTGGGACATGATTTATGATCGTCGTGTTGTGTTTATGTTGTGTATAGAAGTCCCTCCTTTCATTCTTGCTGGTATAAACTACATGATTTATGATCGTTTGTTATTCACAACAATCTTTTAATTCAATTCTCATAAACTTAAGATTCTCAATTTATTCAGCCTCAAGTAAAGCAAGCACAAAAGAGTTGGAACGGATCAATATCCTATTTTACTCATATGCCAATGCCTCTTCTGGTTTGATCGAGTAAGTCAAATTTTGGCCCATGGAAATATCTCAATTTTCAGCATTGGTAGTTAGGTTTGCGTGGTACAAATATATATTATTTTTATTCAGTATTATACTTTTTAAATTCCCATCAACATTCAAATAATGAAAAATTTTCCTTTTGTGGTTGATATCTCACGCTTACTCTTGTATAATAATACTATCCTTCTTCATCAAAACTTCCCATCCATGTTCTTGTAATGATCAAGGAGGTTGTTTTCCTTATCTTTATGGAGACTTCTGAATACATGTATAGATAAGATCCATATGGTATGTAGTACTGACTGTTTCTTTAACAGTCCAGAAGGAATTGAAACTCTTTGTTCAGACATGGAAGTGGATCACACTGATGTAAGGATCTTGATGCTTGCTTGGTAAGTTGTAGTTAGATTGATACGATAACTCAATATTTTTGTGTCTATCATCCCATTGCCTAGAAACTAATGGATTGCACATACCAGGAAAATGAAAGCTGAAAAACAGGGATACTTTAACCTGGTAAGAATGTTTACTCTCTAGTGGGCCTCCGAATATTATATAAGTTATACAGCAGATCTTCTTTCTCGTATAGTTCCCCTTTATTTTCTGCAAAATGCATCATCATCATTGAATCCTTTCTATTCATTTACTAATTAGTACGGTAATCTGTGAAGTGTATATTTTGTGTGTTGAGCACCAGCTTGTAAGGAAAATTCTTTAGTTTATGACCTAACTTGAACAACAACTGTGTCCTTCAGTTCTATGGAAAAAAATTTCATTTATATTTATAGCTTCAAATTATTTGGAAGGTTTTGTTGATTGTTTATATATCTTATTTTCCTCTTGTGTTATTGTTCTCTTCCTTTTCTTTCAACATGCCCATGTTCCATCTTATTATATATCCTAATTAGTCCCTCGTGCCCCCTCCTTAGTAAATTCATTTTATGGAACCTTAACCTATTGCTTATTCTATAGGAGGAATGGCGTAGAGGCCTCAAATCCCTGAAGGCTGACACTGTTAGTAAACTAAAGAAGGCACTACCAGATCTCGAGAAAGAGGTACATTCTTGTCTTGTTAAAAGTTAAAAAATAAACAAGTACATATAGTTGGTGGATTGCTGAATTTTTGCACATAAAGTTCTTAATGATCAATACCTCACATTTTGAGAAGGTAAGGAGGCCATCAAATTTTGTGGACTTCTATTCATATGCATTTCGGTATTGTTTAACAGGTAAACAAATTATTTTAGGTGTATTTTTTTATTTTGAAGATCGGTTCATTTTCTTCTACTCTATATAAATTGATATTTACGTTTTCTTTAATCCATTAATTTTTTTTTTTTTTTTTTTCTTAGAGGAGAAGCAAAAGAGTATTGACATAGAGAGTATATGCGAGCTGCTGAATCTTGTTTTAGGGTCTCAGTTTCATGCTCAAGTCAATTCATTTGTTGAATACTTGAAGGTGAGTGCTGCACTACGTTTGTGTCATTGAAATTGCCACATTTATCCATGGGCATGGTTTATTTGCCACTGCAGTCGACTCCACCTCTGCCTCAAAGTACTTCTACATATTTAATAGTAGCCCTTAGTCTGAGAGAGTTACATTCTTGAGTTTTGGCCTCTCTTTAGCATACATAGTGGAGCACGCTGCCCCGTGTCGATAAAATTGACTTTACCATATTTCTTCTGTTAGCTTAAGCCATAGCTTTCTAGGCAATTCGTTTTTATGTTAATCTGCTTCTCACAAGGAGAACTTTAGCACATAGGTAACCTTCAAAGATATATTGTAGAGTAACAAAAATTTCTTGCTTTGATTTTTTTTTTTTTTTTTTTTTTTTAGGGTTATTGGTTGTTTAATCCCCTGTTTGTTGTCTTGCCCCTCATCTAGGCAGAATAAAATTTATTTCTTATTTACTCGTATTATGTATGCAGATACAAAGTGACTATAAGGTTATTAATATGGATCAATGGATGGGATTCTTTCGGTTCTGCAATGAGGTATTTTATCTCTCCCTTTCCCCTCAAAGCACATTAACACAATTCATTATATTTGCTTTCCATCTTCCCACCCAGTAATCACCATGGACCATGGGTTCAATAAGAGCCATGAAATCAATAAAGAGTTTAGAGAGAATAGTTTTAAGTCATGATGACCACCTGCTTAAGATTTAATATCCTATGAGTTTTCTTGACAACCAAATGTAGGAGGGTTAGGTAGTTATTTTGTGAGAATAATCACGGTGCACCTACTAGAAACATGCTCTGAATATAAGAAGAGAGTCATTGTCAATCCAATGATCCTATCCCTTTTATTCAATGAGATTGGTATTTAAATTTATATATCTATATATACTATATATATCTAAATGTACAAGCTTAACCGAGATAGGAGAAAAGACAGTAAAGGACAACACAAATAACATATTTACAAAACTATAATTATACTACTAATCTAAGAACTATAATATTTATATTTTGCTTGCCATATGAACCTAAAAATACAGAAAACTATTAAATTGCTAATTGGGCAATCTAGGAGGGGATCGACTCATCCTGTTCGATTAGAGCCATGTGATAATAAACATAGAAGGAATGTGTTCAAATCATATGGTGGCCACCTACTTGGAATTTAATGTTAATATGCATTATCTTAGCACAATCAATATGTAGTTGGGTCAGGCCGGCAGTTATCTCGTGAGAATAACTTATCTATCCACCCCCAATTGATTTGTTCTTTATTGATATCCTCAATTCAAGTTGACCCATGAATCATGATGATCATTGTGCAGATAAGTTTTCCGGACCTGAGCAATTACGATTCGGAACTTGCTTGGCCGTTGATCCTCGACAATTTTGTTGAATGGTTACAAGCAAAACAAAGTTAAAAAACGGAACGTCTTCATCATACATTGTATACTCCCACAGTCGTTGAAGGCAAGTATCCTATTCTCTTACGCACTTCATACTCAATGTACGTCGTCGTTTCGAGCTGACCACATTTATTGAACTTGTTCTTTTTTTCTGCAGGCTCGCTTGGTTGGATTACACATTGCATAGCAGCAGAATTTTCACTTATTATTCCTTCTTTCACTGTTCTAACTTCTTTGAAATCGAGGATGATTCCCATTCTTATGCTAAAATTATAATTTCAAACATTCATGGATGATTCTGCTAAAGTTTCCTCCCACGTCCCACCCTTTTTTTTTGGTATCCATTCTTCATCATCTTAGGCATCCAATTGACTTGACTATTTTACTTTTACTTGTAAGAGCAGCTCAAGCTGAACATTTTCTAACAGGATAAGTGTTGGAATATTTTTATTGCCTTTTTTAACACTTATTTAGACCAACAGGAAAAAAAAAACCTATATTATTTTTCTAAAAAAATCTAAATTGATTGATTTTCTTTTTAAAATGAATAAAGATAATAAAGTTTTGCTGAATTATAATTCTTATGGGGTTTACCTTCAGAGTTTTGTGAAGTGATTTTATTTGATTATTGTCGTTATTTTTTCAGGTTGATTTGTTATATTTGCAATCTTCTAATATTAAAGATGTCCACTCGATACTTAATATATTTGCAATCTTCTAATACTTAATATATGTCTAAGAAGTGTGCATGTATGTGTGTATGTATTCAAATACCAAATTAAAAGACAAAATATTTAAAGCAAAACGCTTATGACATGGATGGAGTAGATGTTTATAGTTTGAAAGTGAATGGAGGGGTTGCATTAATGTCAAAAAATGGCCAAATTCTCAAACTTTTTGACCCTCAAAGCATTGAAAAAAGAGCAAAAGTAGAAGCACCATTGTCACAAAGGTGGAGCTCTATTGCAAACAATGGCCACAACTTTCTCTTTTTTTGCAAATTTGCTCCTTATTTCCCCACCTTTCTTACATCTCTTCCCAATTCCAAGGCTAATTTTAAGGGTTATTTTACATGATTTTAGCCCCTTTCCAAAAAGCATATTGTACAAAAATATTACCTTGTATTCAAACACGAGAGTAAGGAAATTGAGCTTTAGGTGAGAAGGGCCTTCTCTCCCACCGATATTTTTCGATACATGTATCTCAATTCAATAGAATTTTGAATACTCTATACCATGAGAAAGGTGAAGGGGAAGGAGTGATACATGAAGCTACTAAAATGGGACGAAGAAATATCATCGAAATTTGGATTCCAACTCACTATCTCACCTGGGAATTCAAAACCCAGCCTGTAAATTTAATGGCAGCTCAAGAAAATCCAAGAAAATGGGGGAAAACAATTCAGACACAAACAAACAACCCACTTTGCCAAATAATACAAAAATTTACATAATCACTGAAAAAAAGCTTCAAGAATTTGATGTGGGAATCAATGGTGAACTTAGGGGACGAGGGCGTCTGGTTCTGCTTCTACCTCTGCGGAGAATGGTTGGAGAAGATGAAGAAGAAGAAGAAGAAGAAGACTTAGAAGCTGCAATTTCAGCTGTTAATGGCGATTCCTTCTTCTTCTCTTCTTCTCCTTCTTGTTTTTCTTCACTTCTCTTGTTCTGCACTCTGTTCTGTCCAACTTTCGTGGAGTTGAAGGTTGCTGGCAAAACACAGCTGCAAATCCACCCTGCATTCAAACCCCATTTCAGAAAAATCCTCAAAAACACAAAATGATTCAGAAAAATCTTCACAAACACAAAAAGTAGGAAAGGAAAGGTAAATTTGGATCAAAACAGGAGCTGAAGTTGAATCATACCAATTCTAGCAAGGCGATTGATCCAACTTGGAATGGGATTTCCAGTGAGTTTGATGCAAACATGGTTGCAAAAATGGTTGCAGTTCTTGGTGATTAAATTATAAGCATTTCCTCTATAATCTTTACTAAGTTCCTCCATTAATGACCTCACTTCTGCTTGATTCAAATCCGTTTTCCCAATCAAAATTGATTTCCTGAACTTGAATCCATCACATTGCTTCGGCTCCCCTTCAAATATCCCTGTACTTGGATACTCATGAGCCCCAAATGCATATTCAACTCCATGAACTGCATCAGAAATCCCACAGATTTCTCAGTTTTAGGTCAACAATGGAGGTCAAGATCCAGAAGAACACTAGATTAAACCTCTAGAACAACAAATTATTGTACTAAAACCAAAAATGATTGTCCAAGAGTAAATTATGGTTCAAGAACAATGAACTAATGCACTAAAAGTTCTAAAAAAACCCTCGAAGTTCATTCAATTTTAGTTCAAGAACAATGAACAAGTGTACTAGAAGTAAAAAAAAATCTCCAAGTTCATTTGATTTTCAGTCATTTTCTTACTCAGAAAACATCATGAAAGATTGTCCAAGAGTAAATTGTAGTTCAAGAACTATAAACTATTGCACTAAAAGTTCATTCAACTTTCCTTCATTTTCTCAGCAACCAAACACAATCCAGAAAAATGGAAATACATAAAACAGCAGGACCAAATTATGCCGCAAAAACAAAGAAGAAATGCAGCAGAAGAGTATTAACCTCGAAGTTCGTTCAATTTTCCAACATTTTCTCACCATCCAAACAAAATCCATCAAAATGGGAGGTCCAGAAAACATCGGGAAAAAATCTACAAGAATAAAATCACACAAACAGAAACACAGAAAGCAAAAACCCTCGAAGTTCAATCAATTTCCCCCCATTTTCTCAGCAACCAAGCAGAAACAGAACTCATCAAAAGTGGATTCAAAACCACCAAACCAAAATTCAGCATCAGAAATCAGAATGCAGATCTAACACAGCAGAGAAATCGAAGCGTTAGAGCGAGAAAAGAAGGTTAAATTAGAACAGACCTTGAACACCAGAATGAAAAACACCGAGGCCGAGCCAATATGCGTAGCCATTAATGGGCGTCAAATCGTACACATTGAGGTACACTGGCGCCGACCCTGAATCGCCATTACTGGAAATTCTTCTGCACAACATTTCGATCTCAGTTCCACTCACTCACTGAATCCACTAAACTCCATTGCTAAATATCTTCGAACCAATAGAAAATGATCATTGGAAACATAAACAAAAAAAAAAAAAAAACTGGTCAGTTTACCAAAAACAATTAATGAGTAATCATAATTTTGCTTGATTCTTAACAAAGTCTTGTAGTGTTCTTTAAAGTGGGATTGGGAAATGAGAATCTTCTCATTCTAGTGGGTACCATCAATAGTGTTCTAAGAGGGAATTCACCGACTTAAATTTAATTTTTTTAACATAATCCATTTAATTTTATTTTTTCTAGGGAAAAAAAAAACCTAGTTGATTTATTTTTTAAAATTAACTATAAAAATATATAAATAAACAATATTTGGGCCTCAGGCCCAAATATTTGTACCTCAATGGGCCTGGCAAATGAAGACTCGTCGATCTCATCAGAGTCGGTGACGTATATATTCATTCCACAGTTTCCCTACGCGCCATCTCGTCCAAGGGCCAATGATTCGCGCCAGAGCCAGTTGGAGTCGATTTTCAAACCGATCATTTTGCTTGAAATTCCACATTCCGACCACAAGAACAGCAACAATTGTAGGATTAATGGCGACAGCAAGGTTGAATCGGATCTGAGAAGCTACAACGAGGCTTGCAAGCAGCTGAATAACTTGAACTTCATGACCTCTTCACTGAACCTCCCAAGGAAAAGAAATTTGGGTATCCATTTCTCTTCTCTATCTTCCTCTTCCTTGGCTGTTTGATCAGTTCTACACTTCCAGTGGCTTATGGTTCTTCAAGTTCTTTGGCGCATCTTATCAAGTTGTTGTGTTCACATCTGTAAAATGGGATTGAATTAAGTTGGTCGTGTTATATGTTTGTGTTTATGTTTCCATGAGTAGAGAGATTGATATTCAATAGCAATGCATCGTATTTTTTGTTTGTAAGTCAATGACATATCAGTATAAGATACTGATGATTTGTGCATTTAGAATTAAAGTGTGTTCAAAATTCATATATCTCTCTGATGATTTTCTCTTCTTGCCATAACATCTTCCTTTCATGCTCAGGATTGATTTCCATCATTTCATAATTTAACATTATTTTCTTCCTTTTCTCTGTCTTTCATCTTCTGGTTTATCTTCTCTGTAATCTAAGATTATCATGAAATTAGTAAAACTTGGTTCTATTTTCGGTTTTTTTAACCATTTGAAAAGCTATCTTACCAAATAAGTTTTCCGATTCAGAATGTTTAAATTCATTTTTAAAGATAGACTATAGTTTTCAAATATAGCTTTGAGACAATCTTTAAACCATAAGTTTTCATGATTAGTAATTATTTTATTAGATATCAGTGTAAGAGATGAAATGACCGCATCATCATTTTGTCTCTTAATCAAGGTTAGCAGTATATATGTTCATGTTTGGCATCATAAACTTAGTAATGTAGAAGTTTTAACTTTTTGAGACTCTGTTAAATTATGAATTATGAGAGCTAGTAATTGTCTAAAAAACAAAAGTTATTGTACCCAGTGATTTCAAGAGTGACTTGGTGTTGGAAAATGAATTCATCTCTGAACAGCATTTTGCTACACCTAGTAAATAAATATGAGAATGTGGGAGTTTGGAAGTCAAAAGTTCACAGTTTAAAGACTAGGCATAATAGATAACAATGTTCAAACCCAAGGGAATTTGGATACTTGAGTTTTCCTTTTGGTTCTTTGATTTTGTCACTTAACAATGTTTTTCTGTGATTTTCAGTTATTCAATGGTTTACTTAACCAAAGCCACCATATCAGGACGTGGAGCTGAAAAAGAAGGAATTCATGAAAAGATTCTGGAACTTCAGGAGGTTAAAATAAGACTTGATAAACTCGAGGAGACTATAAAGGAAATTGCTATTGAATCCAGACAACAATCAGGGAGTGATAGAATAAAAAAGAACTCTGAAAAGGGTCAAGAAGTGGATAAAACCAAACATGGGGAAAATACTAATCCAAGCAACATGGGGAATGCGCCAGAGTCGAGCAAGTCCATGAATATTCATCTTAGTGGAGAGAAAAGAGTAGCGGCCCCTGTTTTCCCCAAAGGGCGTGCAAATGAGTGCACATCACGAAAAGATGCTAAGCATGAAAACCACGGTGGAGGGTCTTCTCTAGATGCCAAGAGATGAAGGAAATGTCTCTATTGCTGCAATATCCTACGCATAGTACTTTTCCCCTTTGATGAAGCTAGAGAAAAGCAAGAATCCAATGGTTCCAGGTTATGTTTAATAATTATATTGCTCGAGCCAGTAGCCTCTATCATTAACAAAGTAATGGTTA